ACAAAATGGCAAAAAATGGGCAGACCCTTGCACCAAAGGGGTCAGACCACGGTCGTGAAATGGGCAGACCCTGGTGACAAAATGGCAAAAAATGGACGGACCCGTGTGCCAAAGGGGTCAGACCCTTGTGACAAATTGGGCAGACCCTGGTGACACAAGGGGCTCAGACCCTTGTCATGAAAGTGACTCAGTTCGCCGTGATGGAAAGGGTAGACCCTGCTGATTAAAGAAGCTCACATCCTGGTTGCAAGAGCGGAAGACCCTGGTAACAAGAGGGCTACCGTCTTCACCCGAATAGATTGCCCGGTCATTATTTCCCTATCTATAGATTCTATTGTTATGATCCTGGGCAATTTCAAAGTACAAATTCATGAGAAAGCACGATGCTGTCCATTTGCAAAAGAAATGAATGAGCTTGAGAGGAGAGAGAGGGAAAGAAGAAGAAGAAAAAGAAAGAAAGAAGGAGAAGAAGAAGAAGAAGATCACCAGCAAAGACCACTGATAATTCCATTCTTCTTGCCCACCACTCTCCTCCTCCTTTTCTCCTCCCCTCTTTATTTCACAATAAATAATAATAATAATGTTGAATGGCTGAACCAGAATCAATGTCGGAATCCCTCTTCTAATGCTCCACCATAGCCATGGCCATCTTTCTCCTTCCTCTTCATGTAGGCCAAGGCTATGGCGGACTAGTAGGGCCTTGCCCATGCCTGACTCTGCTTTGAAGCTTTCTTGGTGCGGAGTAACCCCAACTGGGGCCTTCCAGATGCAGCGCCTAACAAGGTGATGAAGATGGTGCCCACTTAGTTTGGTAGGTACCTCGCCACTCTCCTCCCTAGCCCCTTTCTTCCTCCTCCTCTTACCGGTAGAGCTCCACTATAGCCAAGGTGGAAGCTCTCGGTCTCCTTCCTCCTAGCAGCGCTGTAATGCCCATCACTCCTCCTACTTGGACTGGTACCTGTCTAGACCTAGCCTACCAACCACTGGGCCCCTAAAAATGCCAACTTTTGTCTTCTTCTGCTCGGCCTCCAGTCCCCGACACATTGTCCGCTACTCGAGTGGTACCGGCCTGCATGCTACTTGAGTGTTTCTCCCTACTGCTCGTGGTACCGGCCTACATGCTACTTGAGTGTTTCTCCCTACTGCTCTAAGTGTTGCAGGCCTACTCCCGCTACTTCATTTTTCTCCCCCACTGCAACCTTGCAAGTCACGGCCACAGGTAAGTACCGGCCCTACAGGGCCTCCCAAGCAAGCAAGTACCCTTGCGGGTCACACACACACTCAGTCTGACAAGCACTCGGACATGAATGCAGACCATCAAGCACGCGCACACACACACGGACTTAGAAAACTCAGCAGAATGCGGGAATCTCAGCAAGGCATCAATTCCGGTGGCAAAACTCAGAAACCAGCAGTATTCTCAGTCTGTGTTTTGGCGGGTCAGTACACTATACTGAAAACTGCACCAAATATAGCTATAACGACCGGGCGTTGTATTTGGATGAATACGGTAGTTAGATCGTGGTGACAAAGAGGCAGACCCTGGTGGAGAAGGTGGGATAAGGGATGGGCCAACAGTCAAAAGCAAGAGAGTAGAAAGAAGGGAAGGGACCAAATTCGATGAGTCTGACAAATTTTTTCCCCTTCTTTTTTTTTCTTTTTTTTTTTCGTTCTTTGAACTTCTTTCATTTTTTAGGAAAAGGGCGACGGTCTTGGGATATCTTCATTGATCAGAGCGGCCCTAGGTAATTCATAATGATTTATTGAATTTGGTTCCATTCATTAAGGTCCAGCAGGATTTGAAGTCAGGTCTGTATTTCAACAGTTCATGGGTGGGTGTACCAACTGAGCTAGGCTCATGTCTGCCCTTTTTCTTTTTTTCCCTGCACCCGTCTTTTGTGCAGAGAACGCAGGTGGAAGCTCGGGTGGTGTTTCAGGCAAGATGAGTGAAAAGGAGCTGCAAAACCTTACGGTCGATAAGTTGAAGGCACTTTTGAAGGAAAAGGGACTTCCTCTAAAGGGAAAGAAGGTGGGTTTGAACTCTTGAACTACTCTTTTCTTTTTCTTTTCTTTTTCCTTTTTTCAATTTGGACCGTGTCCCGATTTATGTGTGTCATCCTTGTGCAGGGGCCATGCTAATCTCCCTTCTCTGTATCGTCCCAATTTATTTTAAGTTTTAACGGATGTTCCAAAGGACTGAACTCTTGAACTCCTCTTGAAAGTTTGAACTTCAAAAGTGTGGACTCTAACCTGCTCTTTTATTTCTTTTCTTTCTGGACGCTTGCTCCAGTTTATTCTGTCGAACCTCAGTTTGGTTATTTGCTCCATTACAAGTCAGAGAATACGATATCCTGTTGAACTACAGACCTGTGTTTGAACTCCACTGGAAAATTGCCAGTGTCAATGGCCGTGTACTACCCCTGGAAGATGACAGGGCACAGCCATCACACTGATTCTCCTGCCATTGCAGTCCTTTCTTCCATTCTCCCTTCCCCTGCCCTCCCCCCCCCCTTACCCGATGGCAGACCCACTCATCCTTTGTCCCGCACAGAATGAGTCTGAGATCTCTTCTGTTCGCTGATGATTGCTGCTTGCTGCACGGATATGCGGAGATTTTCGTGTTCTGCTTAGATTTGCTGTGTTTTGTGTGTGGGACCTACCACTGACGTGTATGTCCCTCGTGCTCGTCTGAGTCCAACTCTGTTTGCCTGTGCTAAATCTGTTTTCCGTGCCGGTTTTTGTACGTCGAGCTGGGTAGAACGGTAATGGGAATGGATACAGGGGAAGATCCAAAGTTTGTCGACAGAAGAACTTAACAGAACCACTAGATGGCGAGGGCTAGTTGTAGCGATAGGGCCGGTAGGCCATTTTTAACTCAGGTAGGGCCAGGTGGGACCAGTAGGCTCAGGGGGAAAATCCAGTAAAGAACTCGACAGAACCACTGGATGGCCAGGGCTACCATCTTCCCCCGAACACAACGCACCCTTATTTTGGCCGTATCTGGCCGGAAATATAGCTTCTATACATTCATTTTTAGGGTACGTTATGTTCGGGGGAAGACGGTAGTTTTTTGTAGTGATAGGGCTGGTAGGCCATTTTTGGTAACTCAGGTAGGGCCAGGTGGGACCAGTAGGCTCAGGGGGGAAATCCAGTAACTTCTGAAACGTAACAAAGGTCCAGGCCCTGTACATAGACAGGTACTGGGTTAGATTCGGACCCCTGGGGGGTAGTTGCGGACGGCAATAATGTTCCTGCCAAAAGGCAGGGAACTTCCAGTAGGTCCAGTGCACAAAGGGAGGGCGAGCTACAGTGGAATTCGGCCAGAAGGCACTGGTAGGAGAAGAGTGTATCATTTGGTGCCTAGGGCAGGAGAGGTTCTCCGAGTCGTTCTTCAAGTGAGCATTCTGGTGCTCCGTCCAGAGGGGGGAAGTTGTCGGAGTAGTTGGAGGAGAAGGTGGAGTGGGAGGGTGAAGGTGAAGACCTCCATGGCTATGGAGTAGTAGTAGTAGTAGTAGTAGTAGTAGTAGTAGTAGTAGTAAGTAATAGTAGTAGGGCCCGGAACTTGTGATGGTGGTAGATGGTGAAGTACCCCACCCCATAGGAAGGAGAAAGGCAGGTTAATGGAGTAGGAGGTGAGAAAAAGTGAGAGTGAACAATATAGAGAGATTGATCAAGAAGGCCCCAGCATAGGTCCTGGTTGGTCTAGGACGACTTCCAAGAGCGTGGCTATGTGTTACATCTTCGACTCACACGGGTCCTACCGGACCCAACTTAGGGCCGGAGGGACACACCAGGGCCTAAAGGCTCGACCTTTTGGGGTTACAGGCCCTAAAGGCCTGATTTTGGACCAGCACCCATCGGGTAGGCCCAAACGACACTTCGTTTGGGCCTGGTGGCGCTCTTGAAGCTGCCGCCCGCCGATTGAGGCTGAACCGTCCATCTGGACGGTCCAGGGTCTGGCCTGGCCTCGCAGCATTGAGGCCAGACCATTGCCTACCGGTACAAGTACCGGTATCCTGCCTCAGTTGRGGATCGGCCTACCGGAACTCTACCGGCACGGCATGGTCAGTACCAGTGTACTGTTTTGATGTGCTAAACTTAGCGCAGGGGCTGAAGCAGGAGCGCAGCATAGCGCAGCAGCGAGCGGAGCAGCAGCAGGGCGACTGAGCCAGCACGGCGGCCATTGCCGCCCGAGGTACCGGGAGCTTGGAGGGTCTCTCCTCCTCTCCCTCGCCAGTCCCCTCTCTCTCTCTCTCCTCTTCCTCCTTCTTCTTCTTCTTCTTCTTCTTCTTCTTCT